ATTTTATATATATATATATATATATATATATATATATATATTCATCATCATTGCCTAAGAAAAAAATAGTTGATCTTTTGTGAAAATATACATATGATATTGTAACATAAAACTACCCTACCATTGTTGTGGGCAACAAATGTGGTAATTAATATGTATAAAACTATAAAATAGTAGGTATATATGTTCACATTTTATGTTCACATGAATAAATTGTCTTATACTGTTCGTTCACATTATACTGTTCGTTCACATACTATGCATGTCTTTATAAACGAGGCCCCAGTATAGAACAGCATGGCTGGTTAGTACTAGTTTGGTGCTGGTCTAGTTACTGTAGTTTAACCAAGCTGTTCAATAACCAAACTTGAGCTGACTGATCTTTTCAGCAGGTTTATTTCTGTCCGTCCCTGTACTACATGCACTGACTCATGTGGCGCGTTTTCAAAGTTCAAGGCTTTGAAAAATGTATGTTGGAGTGTGTAAGCCAGCATCATCTGATTTTTTCTATGGCAGCAGAAAGTTCAAGGTATTGTTAGCATGCAAGTGTGTGTTGCTGTTACTGTTAGCATCCTACTTGTAGGCCATGGTTGGCGTACCCGAGGCCCAGCTGCCTGCACACAACCATGGCCTCCTCAGTTCCCCAGCCTTCTCCACAGATCAGGCCCCAGCGCAGCGTCCCGTTAGTCTCAGTATATAACACCTCCACACGGCCCTCGTAGCGAGTTCGGCCCCCTAAGATGCGCACCTGAGCAGGGCACAACCAGGAACGAGGGGTAAGAGGGAGTTCAACTAGAAATATACAGGAGACCGAGGCTAATTGTCACACTTCTTACTCTAAAGAATGTTTCTTGAGGTGTTTTTTTGTTAGTTTATTTCAAAAGTCAGTTTTGGCAACAAAAAAAACTTCTAATATTTCCTTGCCAAAGAAAGGAAAGATACATAGTGGGGTTGTTATATTATATGGGGTAAATTTAAGCAGTAAACAATTATGAAACAGCAATAATGTAATAATAAAACTAACCAATAAACTACCAATAAAACTACTATACCATTGTTTTGGGCAACAAAAATGAAAATATGTATAAAATTAGAACTATTAAAACCTATGTGACAACTTGCACTGACTTGACATTTATGAAAAATATTCTTGTACTGAGAACACAGTTTGAATTTTTTAGTTAAAATCTACCTTCATTATATAGTTGACTCTTGTTTGATTGTACCGTTCAAAAATTTGGGGTCAGAAGTATTTTTAAATATTTTTGAAAGAAATTCTCTTATGCTCACCCTGGCTTTATTTATTTGATGAAAAATGCAGTAAAAACAGAAATATTGTCAAATATTATTACAATTTTAAATAACTGTTTTCTATTTAAATAGATATTAAAATGTAATTTATTCCTGTAATGGCAAAGATGAATTTTCAGCAGCCATTACCCCAGTTTGCAGTGTCATGTGATCTTGCAGAAATCATTTAATATGCTGATTTGGTGCTCAAGAAACATTTATTATTATTAATGTTGAAAACAGTTGTGCTACTTCATATTTTTGTGGAGACCATATTAATTTTTTTCAGGATTCTTTCATAAGAGTATGTGACAACTAGCCCCGGTGTATTCTACATGCATATAAGAGGTTTCTAGCAGTAGGTGCATAATGGTTAAGGTACGTTGCATCTGTTGAGAATCAATCATAATAAATCACAACAGATGATTCATTAATTCCAGTAATTGTCTCTTGATCCAGACAATGATACCCAATATTCCCAGTCATCCATTTTGAGCCAAAATGAATACTGAGCAGCACAACATCATGAATAAATGTAATTCATTTGATCATTGCTATGTTCTTCTTGAATTGAGAAACAAGCAATAGATGCAAATGAATGTAATATAGAGTCACTGGAAACACCGAATGACATACAAAAGACATATGTGTTAAGTAACCAAAATCAGCACACAAGAAGAAATGTTATGAGTGTATGTGTGTTGCTCTGACCGTTTTCTCATAGCCCATATATGGAACATTACAGCGAACTGAAGCATCTTCAGTGTGTTTGCAGTCCTCCGCTGTGATGTTTTTATAGCGGCAGTTCCACAGGGAGCGCTCATGACCTGTGCACTGCACCTCATTCATATGGATAGGCCCCAGCCCTGAGACAAAACACAAAGCAAAATTCATACCGGCAAAAATACATAAAATTGTGTAACTGACAGTTTTATTCATGCAAAGACATTGGCCCTAAAAAAGTAACACACAGTTTCGGTTCCCATTGACTTTCATTGTATGGACAGAAAATACAATGGAAGTTGTTGTGAAGAAAAACGTATAAGTATTGCAAAAGTATTCAGAGTTGGAGTTTCAGAAGTCTGAATCTTTCTCTGTCCAGACTACCATCTTTATACAATTGCATTATCGGTCACTGTCCAATGAGCGTACAGACCATTCTTTGATACATCATTCTCAGTACTTTCCACAATTGTTGTCATTATTTTTCATAACACTTGCTTTCATTGTAGAAAACCCCCTGCTAGTCTGTTTTTCAAAAAGATAACTTCTCTCATCTACTACTTTCCGGGTGCCCAAGGTTGCAAAGGCATGTACATTTTAGGATTTTAATAAGCTGTCAGGATTTGAATGAGTTGTACACACATTATCTACTTTCGTATCTCATCCTGTAGCATCGCCCATCTCCGGTCCTTCTTTCTGTATTCTCTATTCATAAGCGCAGTCACATACAGTCAAACCAAAAATTATTTAGACACCAGATATAATTTTTGATAATTTTTATCAAAATTAGTGGGTGCAGGACACTATAGTTCATGTAAGTGAGGATAGCAAAATAAAGTAAACTGTGACATATTATACCCAAAAATTCTTCATACAGTGGACAACAAAAACTGATAAAAATTTGCAACCAAAAATTATTCAGACACTTTGACCTGACCATGTTTTGCTTAAGTGTTTTTCTTTAATTGCTAATGCGACTTTCTACACCACAGACTGAACAAAATTAAGCATTGCTTGGTAATTGGTTGACGCAAATTGGTATTATCTAATTGTGTACTTAAATTTAACAGCTGACAGCTATTCAACCTAATTCATTACATACTTTTCTATCAAAGTTATCTGACATTATCAAGATGAATTTGTTTTGACACAGTTTAACAGAGTTCTTGTCATATTTTATTACCATTTTCTAAACTATAGCAAATAAACTGTAATAATGTGAGAAATGTTGAAGGTGTCTGAATAAATGTTGGTTTGACTGTAGGACATGAGGCCTACACAGTCAGTCAGTTTGGCCTTGAGGCCTCCAAAAATGCACATGGCTCTCATACATAGCAGAATATCTCACACAAACATACAAAGTAACTTCTTCAAACGTTTTATTTTGGATAAATAAAATATTTCATCAAAGCCAGTGGGAACCCAAACTGATTGGTTACCATCATTCTTCAAAATATCTGCTTTTCTGTTCTACAGAAGAAAGAAAGCCATACAAGTTTGAAACGACATGAGGCTGTGTAAATTATGACTGAATTCTCATTTTTGGGTTATCTATCCCTTAAAGTGAAGTGTTTCAAGTTTGTTTAAATACTTTTTGGTGCCGTTGTACAGTATTTTTATGGCTGGAATACACTACATGACTTTTCAAAGGATCAAACACTACCAGACTTTCAAGTCGTGCACAACAAACTCACACATAAAGATGCATGACACATAAAAACAAAATATCAAACATTTGATATCCTCTGACTGCATATCCTCCTTTTCTTAAACTGTGCATTTTAACGGAATTGTTCATTTTTTCTCATGATGTTGTATGTCTGATGTGTTTTTTTCTGTGCCAGCTGTGTGTCTAAGTCCAAGACAAATTTTCCCTAACAGGGATAATAAAGTATATACAGTCCAATCCAAAAAATCTTAAGTCTGAAGCTAAAAAGTCTGTGCCCATCATACAGTATGCGATTTTTTGTGAAATCTGTCAACTTAAATCTGCAGACTGGCAATACATTTCAGCAACTAGCATTGACTCCAAACTGCAAACTGGGGCAAAAATCTGGGCAATAAAGGAGGTAATAAATGAGGGCAGTTATATTATCTCTGAAAACCTCAGAGATGAGAGTCCAGGTCACTGGTCAGGTAATAAAAGCATTCCATACATTCCTTCACTGCAGGAAAAACAGTGTCTGTATTTGTTCCATTACATCGGTCCATCCCCTAATTTGTTTTTGTCTCTCTTTTGCAATCTCACCTTGTCCCATGCGGGCACCTGTGAGGGCTTCTTTGGCAGAGCCGAAGCCCAGTTCTCTGCATACGACGCTGGCAGAGAGCAGGTTCCAGCGATCATCACAAATCGTCCCCCATTCACTGCCCTTCAACACCTCAACACGGCCCTCACCATATTTCGCTCCACCCTTCAGCCGTATAGTAGACTGATGAGAAACAAATAGAGAAAGAAACAGTTAATATAAGTATATAAACTTATATAAACTAATCTAAACTTGTGTAGCACTAATGAAATACACAGTTTACCGGCATCTTGAGTTTCTTCCTCATGGCAGTGCTCTGTGCGTACAGTGGACCGGGCACACAGCTGACCACAGCAGGCATTCCTCCAGGACACGACTCTGTGGCATTGCCATAGTTAAACTCCAGAGGACATGCAGCCAAGTGCACTTCTGTGCCCAAGCATGCCACTGAATGAACCAGGAAGTGATTCTTCTGCCGTTCAGCATACAGCCTGAGAGAGGAGAAGTGAAAGAGACGCTGACCATGTTTACATGCACATTATTTTCAGATTAGGGTCCATACTCAGGTTAAGCCTTTATTCAGAGAAAGATGTTTAAATGCTCAACAGCTATTGCAATATTCTTGTATACACATATGTAATCAGCATAATTTCTATAATGAACAGATTATGGACAAATATTGGAGATGGCAGCAGAACTGTGTTAATTGTGTAATTTAATAAACTCATTCATTCTCATTGATGTAGACACACAGCAGGACAACAAAACTGCATAATGTACACTACTGTTCAAAGGTATGGTCGGTACAATTTTTTGAAAGTCTTATTACAATTTAAAATGTATATATATATGATGATAACAAAGTTAACAAAGCTATGATAACAAAGCTGAATTTTCAGCATCATTACTCCAGTCTTCAATGTCAAATGATCCTTCAGAAATCATTCTAATATTCTGATTTGCTGCTCAAGAAATGTTGAAAACAGCTGTACTGCTTAATATATTTGTGTACACATATTTTCCGGATTCTTTGATGAATAGCAACTTCAAAAGAACAGAATTTATTTAAAGTAGAAATCTTTGTAACATTATGCATGTCACTTTTGATCAATTGTGTTGCTGAATAAAAATATTATTTTTTCCTAACCCCAAAAACCTGACCCCAAACTTTGGAATGGTTGCATATTTCCACATATAATAATTTGAGAAAGCTTCTTTGTCTTTTAACCGATTTCTATAATCTATAGGTTTTGTCTAGGCCCCAGAATCACCTGTAATGCAGCATTTCTGACTGACAACATTTAGATTTATTGAACAAAAGAGAAGGTTGTAAAGGTCTGAGCCAAAAAGGTAATGCATGTTTCCCCTTTTTTTTTACCAAGGTTACCTTTTAGCTGCAGCTGATTTGCCCGGTTTAGGCTTAGTGTTAGTTTTAGTGATAGCCTTAGCTTTGGGCTCCTGCCTGTAATGCAAACATCCATTAAGCATTCAGAAACACTCAAATGTCCACTGCAACATCCAACATGCACATGCACATATATACATACCAGCTGCATGGGAAAGAGGACAATAAGATCCAAGTCTTTTTCGAATTAATTAAGACTTAACACTGTCAAGATGCTGTGAGGCACAAGTTAACTAAATGAATAATTATTTGATATATAATAATAATTACCATAAGTGTCAGTAACAGAAACTTTGGAATGAGAACTACAAAATACCACATCAATTAAAAAGTAAAAATGTTAGTGGTGATTTCACTTTCCCATGCCTGTTATATCCATTGAAACTAGCACATTAGAAGCACAAGCACACATATCTGAAGTGAACATGCAGTAAGCACAAGGAGGGATTTGTGTTAGTATGAGGGTATCTGTTTCAATATATCTCCCTCAGAAAGCTTCTACTCTTGCACAAGCACAGCCTCATCTCAAAACTATGTGAGTAAAACTAACAGATGGTAATAAGTTCTTCATGGGGAAATGTTGCGTCCACCACTCTTTCAGACAGACACACTCACTCACTCACTCACTCACTCACTCACTCACTCACTCACACAAACATATTGCTGAGAGAGCATATCAACACAACCCCATCACAAAAAAAGGATAACTGACTAAATCTTGGAAACTGCAGTTAGTTGACTAACACTAATAGTGTTGTGTACTAAAGCCACACTATGTGCTTGAGTCCTCTAGGGAAAGAACACTACTGGTTTCTTTCCCTCAGATAGTACCTGGCCGCTGTTACTTTAACTTTAGATTTTGGCTCAGCAGATCTCTTTCTGAGATGCCTGTTGAAAACAGGGAAATGGGGTCAATACACACATGTACACTGTTTACTGTATCACTCTTATTTCTTTATGTCCACCTCAGGACAGTTTAGACTGTTTGAGATGGGAAAGGTTGAGTGGCATCACCATATTCCCCTTGGGATAGTTCAAATTAATTCAACAATTAGTTCAACATTACAAATTAATTAACATAGTTTTGATGAAATCCGAGAGCTTTCTGAACCTGCACAGACAGGAACGCAACAGCCACGTTCAAGGTCCAGAAACATAGTAAGGACATTGTTAAAATAGTCCATGTGAATATCTTAATTTGTATTCCAAAGATGAACGAAGGTCTTACGGGTTTGGAACGACATGAGGGTGAGTAATTAATGACAGAATTTTCATTTTTGGGTGAACTAACCTTTTAACCCTTACTAAATAGAAAAAATAGTGTGCTTAATTGTACTGAATGTGCACTTGTAGTATACTTCACAGCATATATTTATAGAAAACTGTACCTGCAGATAATATTAATAAAATAAAAGGCATCTTAAGTGTACTTAAAGAGACTACACTTTCATTACTGTTTCTTAAAACACTTTTAAAAAGTGCACTTGTGGAAATGTTTGACTTTTACATTTAAAATCAATATGTTTTAATAACCTTCAGTGATGCTTCAAAGAAGTACACATATTTTGATGTACTGAATAACATTCTAAAGCACATGTAAAGTATTTGATTATAATTTTAACTGCAGAATGTTATTTAATATTACATTAAAGTTGAAGAGAGTTTATATATTATTTACAGTTATAGCTGATATAATTTAATATATATCTAATTATATTACTTAAAAAGCCATCATATTTGGCCTAACATTAACATTACACTAACATTTTTTTATTTGATTTTGATTGTATTTTGTGGGTTATTTTGACCTGACCCACTGTGATAAAGTCGAAGCTTTCCAGAAAGAAACCTTCTGGTTAATAATAAAACAGGCTTCTTTAACTATGCTGGAATCCTAAGTTCCATTAAAATATCCTAAAAACTATAAAAACAACTGAAGTGGGGTTATGGAAACATCATCAGTCACAGCGTGCCACTGTTTCAAGAATGTGGGGTAGGTAATGGTGCGTACATGCCTTATTAGGGAGACGGGTTGAGAAATGAAACCGTTATATAGTCTATAAAACCACACATGGGAAATAAATGCAGACAGACGTTGAATAGAGACTTCCTCTTAGCTTTTTCTTATTGTTCACTGGTTGGTTTGTCTAAGTGTATGTGTGTAAAGCAGGGGTGCCCAAACTCGGTCCTGGAGGGCCGG